GGCGCGGGGCGGCTGTCGAACCGAGGTTTAGGGGGGGCCCTTGGGAGCCCCCCGGAGTGCTGGTGGTGGGGAGGGGAGGGGTGGGGGTGGGGGGCACGTCGCTGTGGCACAGAGAGCGCCGGCGCGACCCGTGGCAGGAATTATCGAAGCTTGGCCGTGGCCAAGAAACTCGGTCCCACGTGGACCCGGGACTGTCAGCTGTCTCCACGCGTACGTCTTCCCGTGCCAACAGGTGCCGGCACAGCGCCCGGGGCGCCGTGCTCGAGTGCGAGCTCGCCCCGCCACTCCGGACCCCCCTACACCGCAGCGGCAGCACGCTGGGCAGTGGCGGCACACGGACTGCATCGCGCGGCGCTTTCGGATGCGCTTTTGCGGCCGTCTGGAACGCTCTTCCTTACGATATTAGGAAGCCGCTGGGGCTATGGACTTTGAAATTATCTAGGCTGACAAACGCACTTCTTTAGAACTGATTTGTGTTGTGTTAAGTTTGTCGTCCTGTGGCCCGCACCTCCGATTAGCACGGTTTGGCTACGTACGGTGCGAAAGAAGTTCAACATACGTACGTACGGAACTTCTCTCTCGCTATCGGTGCGAGCCGCGTCCTTTCACAAAGACATCGGCGATTATCGATGTCCTTCCCTTTAGCTCCGGCCGTGATATTTACTCAGGAACTCCTTCCAGTTGCATCCAATTGTTCACATTACTTTTGGTCAATGTAATTCGCTATCTTCGACGGCTTCCTATGCTACTGCACCTAGACTTTTCTCAATCAAAACACATTTATATTCAGTCTTTTGTTTTATAACTACATGTCCAAGAAATATAACTTTGCCTACATCTAAATATTCTGATGCGTCTTCTTTCTGTATCCCAGTGCTATCCGAAATACATTTACGCCACTCGTCTTGTCTGTCCGTGAAATGTTTAACATCTTTCTTTCGTTTAAAATTGAACTCTGTCTCGTGCTAAACAAGTCCTCGTCGCCTTCTGTGGGGTGTGGTGCTAAAGCCCATTAACAAAAAGCCGGAGAAAAACCCAGCTACCGGTATTTATCCAACCCCCCTCCCCCCCAAAAAAATATAAAAAACGATAGTTTAAAATATCTACAGCAACGATTGTGGCCACGTCAATAAACGGACGGACGGCGGAAGACGGACGGCAGGAAACAGTCATCGCAGAAGCCTCTCGTCATCACCTCCCAAGTCTGGCGGTATCTCGGGGGTGGTGGGGGAGTGGTGGGGGGGGGGGGGCCCCCGCGGGAAGGGCGCTTCGCGGAAAGCTTTACGCGGCGCGTGCCGCAAGGTCACGGAAAACCGGAGACGCCTTTCGCGCATTTGCACGCTGACTTCGCGATGCGGCGCACTCCGTGCGGCATCCGCAGACACGTGTTGTTTCACGACCAGGTAAAGGCGTCGCTGCGCTACGCAGCTCTTTTTCAGAAGCGACCTGGCCATCGCCATTGATAGCTCAACGAAGTGGGCTTGTCGTGTGGAAACGTGCGGCAGCCAAACACTCGAAACGCACGTTCATTCTAAATGTGGAGGGGGGGAAAACAGGGATGACCCGGAGAAAAATCCACGGGGAGAACGTGCAAACTCCAAATTTACGGGCGTCAGGTTCAGGAGAGAGCCCGCGACATCCTGTACACTTGGCGAGATAGTTAACATATCGCCACCGTGGCGCCCATATAGAGAATTCGTCGTGCAAACACGAATATTGAGAGTTCGGGTAAATGTCTTGCTACGGTCAGAAAGGCAAAAATATAGGCTTGGCTTTACGGTGGTCAGAATTAGCCTGCATGCCCTCTGATATAAGGCGTGAAGTTCAACCCGCTACTGCAGTAGTCAATGAGCCTTCAATGGAGCTTACACAATTTTCGTCGGTAATAACACGATATCTTACGCTCAGTCCTTTAATGCACTCACCGTGACCTTATCGAAATCAAAACTTTCAGTTTTGCCAAAGCCAAGTTGTTGTTTTGGTGCAAATACATGAGCATATTTCACGGGTTTTTCTCCCTCCTTGAACGTCAATCATTGGAGACAATGCATGTGATCTCACGTTCGGTCATGCATCAAGTACTTTATTCCGCACGTTTTAAACGTTACACTCAACTCTCTACTGTCCGTGGTAATGCGTGTGCGGGGGGCAGACAAAACAAAAACACAGAGCCAATCACATTGAGCTGAGGCTATAAAAAAACAACCAACATGGTTATTTGGTTGTGGAATTGCAGAGGTCGAATGCCACGTCCGTCTTTATTCCTTCTCAAAGTAATTCTCTTTACTTGCCGGCAAGTTTGCGGGTCACGTGGACACTGATGCACTGACCCCTTTATGAGTGGGGAGCAGCTGACGATGATGAACCTGACAAATACATTCATTTGTTTTTCACAAGCACGGTCGATCCGCATCCCGGATATAATCGTGCTCCGCGGATGACCGAGTTGAGATCACGAGAATCATCGATCGGCGCCCCGATATATGGCCGCTGTGGTCTCCAATCCCAGACGAAGCCACGATGAAAACGATTAGATGCGTAGCGTGTGGAGACCCCGTAGCAAAAGCGCATCATTAGTCCTCTCGCTGATGAACGCAGCAAAAATAGAATTGAGGGGCTGCGCAGACTCGCAGTGCCCAATCGCATCGGCGTGTCTTTTCTTAGCGCATTGCAGAACTCTCAGTAGACATGTTTAGTTTTATTATTTTTTTCCAAATGCGTGCATGTGTGGGCATCTCTCTGCTGCTGTTCATCCTCCTCCTCGGACGGTCAAGTTGGGACCGATTGATTTCGCACTGGAATAGCTCGTTGCGGCCGACGGAGCAGAGCTGCCCGCGCGTGCGGCAGACGCCCACGGAACTCGGGGTCGTCCTCGCTGGCGTCAGCTGATTATTTTTTGCGGCGCTCTGGCGCGCGTGCCCTCTTCAATCCCGGCTGCGCGCAGACGCGGAGCGAGAAGCCCGTCCTTAATTGGGGATGTCGCCGCTACCTTTCCCCACCTTCCCCCCGCCCCTCGTGACTCAACACCTTGTCGGGACGCTCTCGAGCAGTGCGTGTGATGCGGCACCGTTAGAGTGAGTGAATGGAGGTGTGATACCGACTACGGAGGGGTGGGAGGAGGAGGAGGAGGAGGAGGAGGGAGGGCGTCAAGGTGAAGATTCGAGTGAGGGTTCGAGTTTTTTTTCTTTTCAGGTTGGTGTTGGAGATTCAAGTTGGTGCCATTTGTAATGCACCATCATCATCAGTAGTCATGGTCTATTCGCTGCTGGATGAAGGCTTCTCCATCCCGTCACCATCTCTTGCGTTGCAGTACTGCTGCTACTCATCTGCTGCTCGTGAACGCATCTCGTTTTGGATGCTTTTCCCTCCTTCCTCGGCGCGTTCCGATGGGTCCTAGCCGTGGCACGGCTTCTCCACCTCAAAACATTCCATTAACCGCGTTAACTCAACCCTAAACCATACATCAAAGCCACTGAACAATCTTGATTTGAAGCGTTCGTGGCTGCAGGAATCCATACTCTTTGGTTCTTTCGGTAAAGCCACGTAGTTAGAAAAAAAATCAAACAAAACGCAGCGAAATTAACTAATACCTGTACTTAATCGTAGAACGCATTTGGTGCGGCTGCGTGCTCACCGTCTATTTAAACTCGCTGAGCAAAAAAACCTCTGGAGGCCACGCGGCTTGGATGGCCAGCTGCATCTTTGAAACGTAACCTGCTTTTTTCGCGAGGAAACTCTAAACTGGCATGCAAGCATCCTCCAGAGGTGGCCCCGTCTATTTCTGACACCTACAGTCGCAGCTCTGATAGACTCCGCATTGAGGCGAGGCTCGAGGCAAGGTCAAGCGTCAAGCAGAGACACTGCGATCGAGGGAGTCACGCGCGCGCGTGACGCGTGGCTGAATCAAAGTGGCCTGGAGTCGAGCGGCCTGCCTGGGTCTTACACGCGAGGCGTTGACGGAACACAGCTTCATGTAAGAGTTCGTGAGCTCACGAGTGTATTTGGCCTACTCTTCCACGCTGTCCCGTACGTCTTGGAAGAGAAAGGCATACACACGGTTAGGGCGCCACGGTGGCTAGGAGATGTTAACTACCTCGCTGGGTATGCAGGAGGGCGTGTGTTCGATCCCGACCCTGACGACGATTTTATATTTTGAGTTTGCATTTGCTCCCCGTGGTCGCGTGGATTTTTCGCCGGGACCTCTGATTTTCCCCTCTATATATTTAGAATCAACATCATGCGTTTATAGTGTTTTGCTGCTATGCATTTCCACGTGATAATCCACTTCGTTGAGTTATTATTTGTGGCCAGGTCGCTTCTGAAAAAGAACTAAATAGCTCAGTGGGCCTTACCTAGCATACATTTTTTAAAAATAGTTTATCCAGAATCTGAATATTTATTCATTCTGGAGGACTCCTATGAGCCATAACAAAAATAACTGAAAATTACGATGTTTTTTTGTTATTTTCTTTGAACCTATCTACGTGACTTCACCGAAAGTCCCAAATAATCTGACCCCATTGTTTTTTCATTTCCACGACGTGGCACGGACATTTACACCGCTGCCACTGACATCGTCACTCGGTAAAGCCACTTGGTTGAGCTATCAACGACAACGAGGCGTGTCTGTTGTTTTTACTTCATTGTATAGCTGTCAACCCATTATCAGTGCCTACCCACTACAGACAAATTTAGACTGGACACCCCGTGTCCCTTATACATCTCAACATTCATACTACAAAGTCCCATCACAAGGGAGTAAACACAAACAAATAGACAACATTTATCATTTTTGTGTGCTCGTATTGAAACGGCTGTACGCCCTATGGACCTGCAAACTAAATTTCCCTACACAAGAATGCGAGATAAACCGTACGCACGAGTTGACACGGCATGTAACTTACATCGGGGCGACAAAACCGGTAACCGGTTTCAACGCCGTAACCGGTTACGCACAATCAACCTCACCGCGGAAGCGATCTGCGCATGCGCAACGGGCCCCCCCCCCCCGAGTCGCCGATTGAGCGGCGAGGCGATCTGCGGGTTGTCAACATGATGGAAGGCGACGCGGAGTTTTGGGGCAGGTACAGGGCGATCTCGAGCAAGCTGAGAAAGTGAGTGGCGCTGCGGCGTGCGGTGAGCGAGGAAGGGGCCGCGTGTTGCGGGAGGAAATTGTCGAGCGAAGCCACTGCGCACACCACCCCCCCCGACCCCCAACCCTTGTGGGACTAGATTGCCTACCGGCAGAGCAGAGGGTCTCCCGGTAGAGTATCTTGAGCGTGTGCCGTAGGCCTCTCCGGGCGCCGTATCGGGCGCCCGTTCGTGTGTAATGTTTCAATACTTAGGTAATATTATTATTATTCACCATCACTTCGCGTCTCTCGGTGCATGGCGTTTAATTTGTTTAATAATAAAAAAAACCCAGTCACCTTGTATTTCTCGTGAACACGTGACGTGGATGTGTGTCTTTGCCACTTGTCATTTGCGTTTCGTCCGTGTGCTCTAGACGATTTCTAAGGAAGCCAAATGTCGCGGAAGCAAGCGAGCAGTTCGGTGAGTAAAAGGTGCTCCCGAATCGCATTGAGCGAAACGCCGGAGTCCGATAAAGGCGCGGTCCTGCAATGGCTCTCTGCCGGCGGAAGGGCCTCCACTAGAGGGAGCTCTCGAGTTGTATTTGACCGACTTCTTCCACGTCTCGGAAGGAGTTTGGGAGTTCCCACGATGGAGCCCCCCGCCACACGCAGCCTTGCCGCTCTAACGACTGCGGTGCAGAAGTTGACAAACTTGCACAGTTGCTTCAAGTGCTTGCTGCCTTAGAGATCAGGATGTAACTGGCAGCGGCATAATCCCGTCTTTTCTCATCGACGAATGTCCACAATAGCAGAGCGCTGGGCTTGTATTAGACTACAGGGATGCTTGTATGATATACTGGAGTACTCTGACAAGTGTTACATGAGGTGGTCGAGTACAATTCGTTCAGCTGGGTTAGATGATTAACTTGAACCTAAATCGTGAAGTGGCTTTTTATTTGGACATATGAACCTTATGGCGCGACCCCAGTGTCCCATAAGCCCCCGGCTCTCGCCTAAGAATATTATAATGTAAACTGAAACTTTGCTCTTTTTCACCAATGGGTTTGAAGGATGGTGGCAAGTGTTGTCTTGTTAAGCTATGCCTTTAAAACTGAAAACTACTTACCTGCAGTACCTCTATTTAAATAAACTATCGAAAAAACGATTCACACCCCTCTGTCAATCATCGTGTTTCTCAGTGTGGATTTGTGAACACACTTTGTAAACAGTACATAAAATAGTACGCATTTTCAATGCACTGTTCATATTGTAACAAGCGTTTATTCCAATGTTACTCTACAGAGTAGGAGGTCGCCGCTCCTCTTATCCGCATTGATACGAGCGGTATGTGGGGACGATGGCTTAAACGCAAAAAAAACTATCTACACAGATGCATACGGACAAGAGAAGTATTATCAAACAGGAGGAATTAACGGTGCAACGCATCTCATCTGTTAAATATCTGCAGGTAATAGGATTGTCATCGATTGATCCTGGCTGCAGGCATTGATAGGTCACAAATAATAATGAAGATAAGAGAGCAGTTTCACTGTATTGTGCATACCGTTATGACAAATAAAGGACTTAAGTCGTGTAAGCAGTTTGAGCAGCTTTGGAATAAGACTTATGATCCTGCCCATACCCGAGCATGGAGTGCATTCGCTTGTTCAGCTCTTCTGCGCATTCGTCCTCGCCGCTGCGCTTGGACATGACGTGACAAAAGAATGATCCGCGCCAGGTGGGTCGCGGCGTTTATGTGCGCGGTGGGACGGAGTCGCCAAAAAGAAAGAAATCCATTACGATTTTTACTTCTGTTTATTTGGGACCCTGTGGTCCCGCCATAAGGTTCATACGATCTCAACCAATTAGTACTGCCATTCATAGAGACGTAACATTGGGCCACGCTTCTTGATAAAGGGAGCTATGCTCATAAAATCTCCTCTTGTCGGACGTACTGACTCTTTCATCCACACTAGGATGGTGATTGTGCCATTCACTTTCATATCTGTCAGTACATTATATTATTTCATAAATGAGCCCTGTTTTTTACGTTGATAATTGTCCTCAAAATGATGCCCTGCATATATCGTTATGATGCATTTTTTTTTATTTGACGAAGTTTACCTAATTTGTGGAACTGCCCTTAAGTAACAGAAGTGAATAATCACTCAAGATGCTGCTACGTTTGGGTAGACAGCCTTCACCGTTAAGTGACCCATCTGGTCGTCTCTCAGGCCACTTGGGTTGTTTTGTTCATGCTGGTGAACCTAAGAATACATTTTGACAGCTGCAGAGTTGTGGCACTGTTTTAATATGGAGGCAGAAAGCCATTGTGCCCTAATGCATTGTAATTAAAATAGTTTAGAGTAAGTGAAGACAAATAGGAATCTGCCTTTAGTTAATGAGTGCTAATGTGCTCTAAAGAATACATTGTGACCACAAAGGGAATTCAGTTACTTCAGGAGTAAAGAAATGTGAGTCGTGTCAATGTCAAGTGGCTGGTAATGTAGCATACATTTTTTATAATAGCAACAACAATTACGTGATGAAATACAAATTACAATTATCGATTGGCATACTCTGCCATGTCATACATATTCGATTTAATGTTCCTTTTTACCCGGAAGCCCACATTTTCTCCAAGGATGAACATGGCTTGCTCCACTTTCTCAAGTTTCTGGTGCAATCAACAAGACCCCCTTCAAGCAGGAGGCCTTGTTGTGAATGCCAGCCTAATTAATGCCCTTCCAACTGAGCAGATGGGGCACAGCATTTATTTTAGTGACTCATTGATCCCTGATTATGGGCTGAATTCAGCTGCCCAAACTCAGGGGAGAGTGTATAAAAATGCGACACTATTAATGGCTTTCTCCAGAGTGTGTGCTAAAAGAGTCAGCATTTTTTGGCATGTATTTTCACTTGTATGGGACATAGGGAGGGGAGCCCTTGCCTGAAGCAATCGTAAGTAGCACTTTAAAACTTATATTTAAAAGCATACTTATTTTTTGTTTAAATCCCAAACAACAGGATATCTTTCCCGGGAGCTCAAGCAGCAAGAGTGTTTGCAGTACGCTGGATTCTGCAGCCTCGCCCAAGCCAGGTGAAGGTCACCAAGCCTCAAACTGGTTGCATTTCAAGAACGTTGGCTCCAGATTCACCCCATTAGTGTGAAGGCTATTTCATGCCATGCTATGTGGAAATTATTGCATCATATCTCCCACTGCACCAGAATAAACAGTCATTCCTTCAAAAGCCTAGGTTAAATTACTAAGCATGCAAAACATTCCTTTACTTAAGCCTGGATAAGTCACAATTGACATAGCTTTAACTTCCATGTGGTCATCTATAAGCAATAACCGATCCACTCACGCACATGCCAACCAGACTCACCCACCTCGGTTCTCATTCACCCACCTACCCTCATTCACCCACCTACCCTCATTCACTCAGCCACCCAACCACCCAATAACCCTCACTCAAATCATCCACCTGCCCACACTTACTCACCAACCACTTAAACACCCACCCTACCCACACTCATTCAACCACTTCGTCGCCTACCTACAACGACAAAGATATCCCGTATGGCCTTAACAGACTGTAGGGGTAAGTGCTATTAGCGAGCACCTATGAAGACCGGCACGGTACACGAGGGGGTGGGTGGCCAGCACCACGCCCGACCACCCTTTGTCTCCCAAGTGGCGATGTTCACCACACCAGGGCTCACCTACCCTACCCACACGCACGCACTCAGTCGCCGTCTGCCTCCACGTGTTCTCACTGCCACCCGGGTCTTCCGCTGCACGCAGATGTGAGCAGACGGTGATGAATGGTCTCGGGGAGGCTGAGGCGCTGACCGAGGCGGCGAGGTTGTTCCTCAAGGCGGAGGTGGAGAACTGGGAGCTGCGCTGCCCGGGCCTGGAGGAGAACCTTCAGGCCGCCATCAACGCGTACAACTATGCCGTCAAGGCAAGCCCGGGCACGCCGCAGGGTCTTCAGTTGTTAAAGTGTGCCACCGGCGCAGAGTTGTTCACGAGAGTCGATGGGAGGGAATGGAGCGCAAGGATGGGATGCACTCTGTACTTTTAACATTTGGCCAGTATTGTGAACACCGATACTCGCACTTGCCTCCTTGCATATTGACGTGTGTGTGCGTGTGTTTGTGTTGAAATCCATCCCCAGGTGTACATAGAGATAAATCGGCCAGCTCTGGCTGCAAGCCTCTGCCTTGAGATTGGATATTCTCTTAAGGTGGGCGATCAGATGCACTTCACCTGTCACACACGGCATTGTACGCGTTACAGTGGTGCAAAAGCAGATATCGTGCTAACACTGCGGCTACAGCTGTTCTCTGCGTGTTGAGTGCGTGCCGCGTGTTTTTTCTTTGGCACGACGTCCCGATGTTTTCGCTCTGTGCCGGGAGTGAAACCCATTTCCATGAAGAAGTTGCCAGGACGTGGAGCTAACGTCAAACATTGTACCAACCAACATGGGGACACGTCCTGAAAAAAGCCATTTGAGAGTTCTAACCATCGAACAAAGACGGTCACCGCATTGCACACTTTCAGATGCGCTTCTGCAGCCATCTGGAACGATCTTCCTTCCAATATTAGGGAGCCACTGGAGCTATGCACTTTAAATCATCTCGTTTCTTTAGAACTGCTTTTTGTGTTTCGTTTGTTGTCCTTCCCCCGCACCTCCGATTAGCACGGTTAGCTACGTACGACGCGAAATAAGTTCAACGTACCTACAGCGCTGCTGTGAATACCCAAGCAAGTAGTCTTGCAGTTACCATGCCCAGAAGCTGCAGTGTTTGGTTGTTTTGCTTTCCGTAGGGCTTGGAGCGACCAGGGGAGGCGGAGGTGTTTTTCCAGCGGGCGGCTGAGCTGCAGTACCAAATGCCCATAGAAAGCCTGCACTCGTTAGGGCTTGCCGCCTCCTGCAAACTGCTAACGCGTAAGCCCAGCTCGCACTGCGCAACGGGGTTGTAACATGCGTACACACTTTTATTAAAGTTTTCACGTTTCGATTGGCTTCCACCTCTAACTGCACAAGTGTGTGCTCGTGTGTGGCGGGGTGTTTCCGCGCGTGCCTGTGCGCGTGCAGGCGACTACATGGGAGCGTTGAATGTTTTCACCGAGATGCAGCTGACGGCAGAGCAGAGAGCGCCCCGCTTTCCCGGCACCAATGCGCCGATCGGTAAGATTGACTGGCCCGCGACACGCTGATTGATGAGTAAAATAAACAGACCTGAGGTGGCCGGGTGAGGTTCAGAGGTCGGAACGCTGAGCGAGCTGCCACTGCTGAGATCCTGGGTTCAAATCCAGACAGCTGCCCATTATTAAACCGCATTAAATTAGTTTTTTGACTTAATGTGGCCATATTCCAGCTCCTGGAGAATTAAAAATACCACATTGAATCGCATGACATTACTCTGTAGCATGGTGGGTGGGCAAGTGCTGCCCCCTGGTGTGAGCAAGGTCACTTTAGGCAGTGATTCTTAACCTGGGGTGCACGAGATGCCCTTTCTGGGGGTGCGAGACATGGCCAGATTTTTTTAGAAGGTAAATAATCGAAAACACAAATTAAGCTTGGGCACGTAAGTACAATGGGGGTGCGGGCTGCAGTGAAAGGTTAAGAACCACTGCCTTAAGGGATCTGGGAAATAGTTCTGCGATATCTGCTCTTGAGTACTGTTCTCTAACACGGTCAGGCACCGCTCTGCAACAGTTCCAAATGGATTCCCTTAGTCTCATGCTGCTGAGAATACAGTCGGGATTCACCTTTGGGGGGTGGGGGAAAGGTAAAGCAATCAAAGTAATAATAGTTATCTGTTCAACTCTACACACAACATACACTTATTGGGTGAAGTCAGCCAATGCACTTTCCAGATCAACATTAACTGGCAGCGTTTGTTGTTGAAACAGGAGAATTCTGATCCATTCGCTGCCTACTGAGTCTCATCAGCGGTTTGCGTTTTGCCCGCTTTGGCCTAAAAGTCATTGAAAAAGAGATATTTTAGCCCCACGAGCTTTACCTGAACTAAACCAACAGACTGACTGACTGAGGCTTGTTATATATTTTTGGGTTTCCGGATGAATCGTAAGCAGTTTGACGTGTGCTAGAAAACCCAGATCGTCCACATTTCTGTGTTATTGGTCATCCACCACTGGCTTCATTGGCACGCCCAACAATCCGGTAGATATCATTGCATCTTCCTTCCACAGATGGCAGCACCATCACGTTAACACAGTAATACACTGAACAAAACCCGACTTCCTGGATGCTGAGCTTTGTCGGTTATCAACTTTCACCACCAGGACAACACCCATTTTCTTGCCACACAGCGCTCTGTTTAAGACGTTGCTTGAATTTACATTTTACAACATTTATTGATCAGGTTAGGAAATATCTCCAGTAACGATCCGCACTAACCAGCGTGGTGAATTATGAGGCGCGTATCTCTGCACCCGCTCCCCCGAGCCAGCGCCCCCAGTGATAGTGCAGTGCTCAGGCACGAGCGACTCTGCTTTCACCGCTGCGCCACGGGACGTATGTTGAACCTCTTTCGCGCCGCACGTAGCCAACCGCGCTAATCGGACCGTGGAGGGTGTCGACGACTTGGGAGGAAGCCCTTGTGCAGCGGCGGCGGATTGATCACGGCTGCCACTGACGAACGCGTCTCGTTTGTCGTGTGGCTCTCGCAGGCGCCTTCAGTGACATCATCGCACGCAGCGAAGTGGCACGGGTGCTTCTGCTCATGCTGCTGCAGGTGGGTGTGTGTGCGCGTGTGGGGAGCGGTGGTGTAGCGGTTAGCGCTACGCTGCGCTACGAACCTGGCGACCCGGGTTCGATTCCCGCTCACGGCCAACACCAGTGACGATTATCTGAACTGGTCCTTAGGTCGACTCAGCCTCAAATGAGTACCTGGTGCGGTGTGTAAACATCGCCACTGGGGAGACAAAGTAGGCCGGGCGTGGTGTTGGCCACCCACCCCCTCGTGTGCCGTGCTGGCCTTCATAGGTGCTCGCTAACAGCACTTGCCCCTACAGTCTGTTAAGGCTATATAGGGGATCTTTGTCTTGTGTGTATAGAGAGGTGCTCACTAACAACACTCGCCCCTACAGTCTGTTCAGGCTATACGGGGGTGGGGATCTTTGTTCTTTGCGTTTGCATGTTACAACACCACGGGGTGCATTGCAGCCTCCGCCCCAGCGGCTCGCAATGGAGCACGCCAAGACGCTGGAGAGGTACGCGTGGGAGTCCTTCGAGAGCCCCGGGCAGAGCAAGGGTGAGTGAGGCTGCGCCAGCTTCCGTGCCCCCGTGGCTCAATAAAATATCCCCCCCCCCCTCTTGGTGAGTCTCGCACCAAATTTATTTTAGCACAGCAAAAATGTGGACTTGAACTGTTCCATCTGTATAGGATCGAGCGTTTCTCCCTTGCAATGGTGGATTTTTTCCGGGGTTCTCTGGTTTCCTTCCACATGTGAACACTCATTAATTGGCCGATTACAACCTAATATGTAGAGGTCCGCAGAGCTTGGGCAACTGTTGACGCAGGCTCATTGCATGGCTGCCTTCCTGGTTGTCTGTGGTTCCTCTCTCCCTACGAGAGTGAGCGAATATACTAGTGCTTAGCACTGCACCAGTAGCGTGGCGAAGTGGGGTCTGTCTGGTGGCGGCTCTGTGCAGACGCTTGGGAATGTTCATGCTCCTACACAGTCTTCCGTTCATGTGCCGCACCGGTGTCAACTCGAGTTCTCACCTAGTTGAGCAAAATTAACCTGAAAACGTCGCGTGGCTTTGAGGTTCAATTCCCGTGGGCAGCTGGACACAGCAGCGGTGGTGAGTTGTGCTCAGCACCGCTGATTGATGACATGATTTCCTTTCCAGACAGCGGCGTAATTGGCGAGGCTGGGTCATCGTGTGCTGTCTGTCATAGCCTATGTAGGAAACGTCGGGATTTCCCAAAACGTACAAAATGTATTAGTAATGATTCCTACATGTCTCCGTCTCTCCGCACATAAAAAATGTAAGTGTTTGTTTCACAAGCCGTCAGCCACACGGCCTTCTGGCAGTGCATCATTTAAAGTAGCATTGGTTCAGCACAAGCAAAACACTGGTTTCGACACACAGCGTCTCATCAGCAGAGTCGGACTTGCTTGAATCACTGCTGGCGAACTGCCGTCCCAACCTCCAAATGGTATTTAAAAAAAAATACAACCGAAAAATAACGACGCTCACGATTACTCCGAGTTAGGAAAAACGGAGCGCTCCGCATCTGTGCGTCGTGCGACTTGGCCGCCTCCAAGGAAGTGGATGCCCTCTGCTTGTCTGTGTGGCTGCAGTGAACTACTTGACCGACGAAGTGTTTCTCCTGCTGCAGTCGGTCGTGGTAAGCTATGCTCACCGGCGCGCTACCCATCTGTGCCTGCGACTGCCGACTGGGACCATAGCTTCCCTTTAGAACAGTGGTCCTTCTTCTTAACCTGGGGTGCACGCTGCGAGATGCCCTTCCTGAGGGTGTGAGGCATGGCCAGATTTTTCTAGAAGGTAAATAATCAAAAGCCAAATTAAGCACGGGCACGTAAGTACAACCACTTTGTTGCATTAAAGCTATGTATTTATTACCATAATAAATGTTTTTATAATTGAGAATCAAAGGGTTGCAAGGCTGCAGTAAAGGCTAAGAACCACCGCTTTAGAATAACATCATCACTGTGCGTAGCGACGGTGAGCAAAGTGCCGTCACTTAAGTTTCGCCTTTCCAAGCATTTCAGTTTTTCACAAAGCTCGCAAAACGCTGAGTTCACCTTGACTCTGCGTGTAACGTCATGTGCTACGGGTCAAGTTCAAGAGGTCGTGAACTTCACCACGACCCTCTCCCCATCGCTACCTTCCACTGGGTCCTGGAGTTGTTGCTGCGTAGGGGCCTCTTAGCAAAGGGGTTGTTCTAGGTGACTCTTGGTCTTTTTGGTTTGGGGCTACTGAGTTACCCACTCCAGCGCTTGTCTTGGTAACCTGCCCTACTCCGTCCTATGCAGGTAGCCCATTCACCGCAACCACCGTTTCCCGATTACAGTAAAACCTTGGATTACGAGAATAATTCATTCCGGAAAAGTGTTTGTGATCCAAAGCACTCGTATATCAGTTGTGATCACGTGACGCTCGGCAGACAAAGCATATACGTGCTACTCGTATTGCAAGACCTCGCTCGTTTATCAAATTAATATTTATTAAAAAATTTTGCTCGTCTTGCAAAAGACTCACTAACCAAGTTACTCGCAAGCCAAGGTTTTACTGTACACATGTGGCAGGCGTTTTATTAAATGAGCATGTCCTCTTCGGATGCTTTATTTCAACATATTTCAGGCTTTCTTACAGAAAACTCGTCATCATCGCGAGCCATGATCAGTCCACTACTGGATTATTGTCTCCCAAAGCTGCACCCGTCGTTAGTGTCTCCCGGCGACGTAACAATCCGCCGAGCACCTGCACACTAGCCGGTCTTATCGCTTCGTAATGAACATCGCTGCGTAGTAATTAAACACAAGTATGTCCGGCCAAATCGATAAAGGGTCTAGGAGTATGGAGGCGAAAGGTGACGGTTGTGTGGGCTGCCGTGGTACTACTACAGTGACGGTTGTGTGGGCTGTTGTGTTACTACTACAGGTGTCATGCCAAGAGAAGGACATCGAATCGCTGAAGGTTTTGCAGAAGGAACTCTGGTGAGTCCTTGAAGTGTCTCTGCCGCCCCGCTCCACGCCCGCCCCTCGTCCACTTCCCCTGTTGCCTCCGTCTGTCCCCCGTCTCTCTCGGCACTTGCTGGCCTTACATTCCCTCCTGCCGACAAAAGAATGGGTAACCGTTGCCCTCTTGGTATGTTGCGTTGAATAGTTTTTTTATAACAAAAAACTCGGGAAAATAAAAGGTATTGATTACAAAAACATCATTCGGTATTTACTGTGTGCGAGGACATTGGTGATTGTGTAGCTGCTGTGACGCAATTGCAGTTTTTTGGTACAAATTTACGTCCTTTCATCTTGTTTCTGGCCATGGAAATGAAAAATAGGTATCACCTTTTGCACTTACAGATTAAAACCTCTCCCACGGTTCGATTAATTGTCTCGTATCGGGATTAATATTTGATTGCGTGATTTAAAAAAATCTTACTTATCTCCCGGATTGTTCTGCCTCATTTGGGCTCTCTATCGCAGTTGTTCCATCTTGTTCCTCTGCCTCCCCTTATTAAGTTGATTCGCCGAATGGTACCGTGTCCATATAACCTGCAAAAGCCGTGATTGCCACTTGCACACATGAATTTCTATGAGAATTCATTTCAATTGCTTTATCTGTATGCATCCTGCTTCCTCACCTTGTCATCAGCACGGTCGCCCCTCGCCCACTCTGGCTGCCCGTTGTGCTGTGGGTCCGTGTTTCCAGGCCTCTGCTGAGCACAGAGCAGAACCACTTGATGCACCTCGTCATCCAGGAGCTGCTGCACCCGTCCGGAATGGGCTACTGAGACGAGGCGATGGCTGCCAGGAGCCGCTGTGTTGGCTATGCGTGTTCAGGTCGTGCGTGTGTTTGCGTTTGTACATGTGTGTGCGTGTGGGCACGCATGTGGAAATGTATGTAAGTATGTTGAACTTCTTTCGCACCGTACGGAGCCAACCGTGCTAATCAGAAGTGCGGGAGAAGGACAATGAGCTAAACACAAAAAGCAGTTCTAAAGAAATGAGTTGTCAATCTAGACGATGATTTAAAAGTGCATAGCTCCAGTGGCTTCCTAATATCGGAAGGAAGAGCGTTCCAAACGGCCGCAAGGTAGGGCATCTGAACGCGTGCGAGACAGTGACCCTCTTTGTTCAATGGCTAGCCAAAAGCCGCTGCGAGGATGACTGAAGTTCGGGAAGTTGCAGCGTAGCGGTAAGCAAGCGGCGCTACAAACCCAGCGACCCCATTTAATTTCTGCTCAGAGCCAATAACGGTGGCGAATATCTGAACCAGTCCTGGGCTTATCCTCGGTCGACTTAGCCTCATATGAATACCTGATGCGGTGTGTGAACGTCGCCACTCGGCCGGGCGTGGTGCTGGCTACCCACCCCCGAGTGTGCGGTGCTGGCTGTCATAGATGCTCGCTAACGGCACTTGCCCCAACAGTCTGTTAAAGTCGATATGAGGGGTGTGTGTGCGTGCGTGCGCCGGTATTACTGGAAGTTAAAAGGCCACGCCGTACTGTATGAAGAAGCTAATGCCTTTGAACGCAGTGGCTTTGGAATCCCAGGTACCAATCATTTAGCTCGCAAGATTAAACTCCGCTGCCCCGGATGTTTGCATTTAAAATATATATTTGATATATTGTTTATAGCTCTCGTCGGTCTCATCTCATTACTTTCGTCAGCTGTGACAATTTCAAAGCATTTGAAAGTCGTGAATGTGCTCTGTGGTGTTCTCTTTAGTTGTGCGCACGGCGGCTTGCGGTAAGCCGTGTGCAACAACTTGTCGTTTGGTAATGACCGCGTGTGCCGACCCTAATGGATAGATAGATAAATGATGGATCGTGTGGGTGGACACCGGCATGCACACTCACGCGGGCAAAGAACGAGGAGTGCGGAGAAGTACATTTTTTAATTGAGCAAAACATTGCCCTACGTGTTTTCCGTACGGCAGAAAATTTTAGTTTTAATGCGGACCGTGTAGACTTTTCTCATTCAAGTCCCACATGGCCATCTGAGTTAAACAGGTGTGTGTGTAAAGAACTGTATTACGGTAGCCTTAACCCAGCCATTTACGACCACCCTGGAAGTCCATTTTAAATTATGGTAATTATTTGCAATTTAGTTTCAGATGGCTTGCTGATCTACGGTCGTCTCGTAGCTGTTTGCATAGGTGCGCGTATCGGGTAGTCGCTGTGCTCTCCGCATCTGACACGAGGCTGTGAAACGAGGTGTGTGCTGCAATTTGGCCTGTGGGCAGGTGAGCGCGCACCCTACCTTGGAATCTGTCGACCCTTTGCCGGAGGAGTTGCAATCTGTTCGGATATCCTGCCGCTTTTCAACTGCGGTGGTGGTGGGCCCTCTACCTCGGACCCCCGTTCGAACCCAAAAGACCCCGGTGTCGGGTGGCTGTTGAAAGTTGTGAGCGGGTGGAGCGTTCGGTGGCGCGTTCGCGAGCGATTCCCACAACGCACATCAAGAGCCAAGGTGGTGGCGCACCCACGGGGGAAAAAGTCAGTGGATGCCACCCACCGCGGCCTCGCGATCGCTCCCTGCCCACGACGCCACGTCGCGCCCCTGCTGCTCGGCAGACACGCGGCACGCGGAGAGAGCCACCTCGAGGCAGCGGTGCCGCTCGTTGTGGATCACTCCGACGCCCGTCTCGGGCTTCCACCCAGCTCCAGCGCCCTCCTCGCACCGTTTGTTTTGTCCTGACCGTATCGCGTGATGAGTTCCACGCGGGAGTTCGAAGCGGGTGTCCGGGCCTCCCCAAGTTCGGCTCGGTTATTAAACGAGAACCGGTTGCAAACGTGCGATAATCGGCCTCGTAGGCCGATCACTCCAAGGTGTGCACCCTTCCCTATGAGCCGTCCACGTTGATGCCCTCTAATCTGGCACAGCAGTGGCTTTAACTGGATCGCTGATCGTGGCCGGCCGCGAATGAGATCATGATGTATTTATGAGCTGTCCAGCAGTCACATTCCGTATGAATTGTGTTTTCACCGTGTCCACGCGCAAACGCGGCCTTGCGTTGTGAAGTAAATGGGTTGTGTCAGTCACGCCGCCTCGTTTCATTATTGGCTCATTTATCATGCAACGTCGTCGGGTGATGGTTGTGGATGACTTTGTATACGAACACGCGCACACACAGACGCAAAGGTGCCCCGTGTAGCCTTCACTGCTCGAGCAAAGTGCTGTTGGCGAGAACCTATCAAGGTTGGTACGGCGCCTGGCAGGGGTGGTGTGGCCAAAGACAAAGATCCCCGTACAGTCTTAGCAGACTGTTGGGGCAAGTGCTGCGAGCGAGAGAACCCTTTGAAGGCCGGGGCGGCACACGGCGTAGGAAGTATTTATACATATTGACTTTAAACTCTCCTGACTGCAGGAGTTCATATTCTGTTTTTTTCGGTGAAGTCACGTAGATAAAAAAAAAACAAGCGGTCGTCATCAGACCTTATGACGACCGCTTGTGTTGCGATCGATACGTCGTGAGTGGTTTTTGAATTTTAATTATTTTTATTTGATTATTTTCCATCTACGCAACTTTACCGAAAGAACCAAAGAGTACAGATAAATAGTGCAAAATGTGTGAATGACATTTAGAGCCTCTCGATTTCTCAGGTGCAAACAGATTATTGAAAATAGGAACAGCCCCTGCAATGAGCCCCTTGACAAAGTCACTCTCTTCAGTTTCTACAACTGGCGGTCAAATCTCCCTCCGAGTGCGCGAGAGCCCCCCCCCCCCAAACACCGGCGACGATCTGAACCGGTCCTGGGCCTCCCCCTAGGTCGACTCAACCTCAAATGAATACCTGGTGTGGTGGCGCGTAAGCACCCAACCTACCCTCGCGTGCCGTTGCCGACCTTCACAGGTGCGACTCGCGAACGGCACTTGCCTTGAAAGTCCGCTAAGGCTATACGGGGGACCTTTGTCTTTGTGCCAGTGAAAACAACGGTGGTGCGCTCAGCGGCCCCTCGGCTCTCTCCTCTGTCTCATTACCGCGGCGGGGCCGAGCGAGCGAGCGAGGGGGTCGCGGCATTTCGCCGGTGGAAAGTCGCAGGCGGAGGAGGGGGAGGCGGAGGGAGATGAGGGGGGACGTCGTCCTCCGACAAGGAGGCTTCGTTGCTTCCGCGAGAACTAGAAACAAACCACCCCCCCCGGCGGCGGCGGCGGGGATGTTGACTCTGAAACGAGAGGCGCCGAAAGCGGCGCGCAATCGTGAATCGTGACGAGAGCGACGCGGGACCTCCACCACCACCAGCAGCACCACCAGCACCACCACCAGCACCACCAGCACCAGCAGCACCACCAGCAGCACTACCAGCACCACCACTAGCAGCACCACCACCACCAGCACCACCACCAGCAGCACCATCAGCAGCACCACCAGCAGCAGCACCACCACCTGCACCACCACCAGCATCACCACCACCACCTGCACCACCACCATCAGCACCACCATCAGCAGCACCACCACCACCACCAGCACCACCACCACCACCTGCACCACCAGCACCACCAGCACCACCACCTGCACCACCACCAGCACGCGCGCCACGCTCCACTCGCGTGCCGCGTGGCCGTGCAGAGACTCCTCGCCGTGGCGATGTGAACGCGCGCGCGCTCCAAGTGGCTTGGTGCTCGAACGCCGCCGTCTCGCCTCGGTGGAAGCCGACTCTGTTTCCGAGGACTGCCCCGTTGAGGAATACATTTCATTTTTTATTCACCTCCAATGAGCACGGTTGGCTACGCACGGTGCGAAAGAAGTTCAGCACACATACACACGAATTATTTTTTTGAGTGTGGCTGGTTGTTGGTGGTGGTGGTGAGCCGATAGCGACCATGAGCGCCACGAGGAGGTGCCGCTCGTCGCTGGCCCTCGCCCTCAACACGCTCGCCCTGCTGATGGGCACCGCGGCCTTCTTCGGCAGCTACTGGTGCCAGGGCACCCAGCGAGTGCCCAAGCCGCCCTGCGACCCGCAGACCGCCGACAACGCCGCCGCGCTCACCAACTCGGCCAGGCGAGATGCTGTGGCTCCTGCTGCTGCTGATGCTGCGGCTGCTGTGGCTGATGCTGCTGATGCGGCTGCTGCTGCAGATACGACGGACGTCGCGAAGCGGCGTGGGTGTCGCGTGAACGGCTCGGAGCACGACTCGCCCCTCGCCTGGGAGGCGGGAGACGAGAAGTTCGTGCTGCGCCACTTCCACGCGGGGCTGTGGGTGTCGTGCGAGCAGAACGTGGCGGGCGCAGGTGAGAGGTGCAGGGTGGGAGCAGGTGGGGGGAGCAGGTGGGGGGAGCTGGGTGGGGGGTGCAGGTGAGAGGTGCTGGGTGGGAGCAGGGTGGGAGCAGGGTGGGAGCAGGTGGGGGGAGCAGGTGAGTGGGAGCAGGTGGGTGGGAGCAGGTGGGGGGAGCAGGTGGGGGGAGCAGGTGGGGGGCGCAGGGTGGGGGGAGCAGGTGGGGGGCGCAGGGTGGGAGCAGGTGGGGGGAGCAGGTGAGGGATGTAACCAGACGCTGCTCCTCCGTGCAGTTCACTTATGCCTGCTCTTTCATTCTCTCTCCCATTGCCGTGGTGTGCCACGGGTGAAACGTTTAACCAAAAATAAATTTGAGCAATTGTGACCGACTGTTCGGCAGCAGCGTTGCTGCAACTGATAGTGGCCCGAGATGACAACACGACCACAATGCACTTCTTCGCGAAATGTTGATTCAGGCCGTGTGCTTTTCAAACATTCGGGGTGTGTTGTTCGAGACTCAGAATTCGCAGCGACCCCCGGCACTCTCGCAAAACAAACAGACGAAGGTCGTTGCGTAAAAACTACACAACAGCAAACAACACACGACATTACGCACGCCACGAAGGAAACATACAAATGATGCACGCGATGCCGCGCGCGGTGCACCGTTACATTATTCAGCAGTCACCCGTGTGGGCCAGGGCCCTGACGAGGGTTCAATCCAATTACAGCCGTGGCATTTCGCGGTCTGCGCCCCGGTAAAGGCTACAAACGGTGACCTCGCCTGCTGATGGTGATTGGGCGATTCGTAATTTCGACCCCGTGAAGACAAAAGCACAGGCAGGCACATGCAGGCATAGGCAGGCACAGGCAGGCACAGGTAGGCACAGGCAGACACAGGCAGACACAGGCAGGCACAGGCAGGCACAGACAGACAGGTAGGCACAGGCAGACACAGGCAGACATAGGTAGACACAGGCAGGCACAGGTAGGCACAGGCAGACACAGGCAGACAGGCAGACACAGGCAGACACAGGCAGGCACAGGCAGACACAGGCAGACACAAGCAGGCACAGGTAGACACAGGCAGACAGGCAGACACAGGCAGACACAGGCAGGCACAGGTAGGCACAGGTAGGCACAGGCAGACAGGCAGACACAGGCAGACACAGGCAGACACAGGTAGACACAGGCAGGCACAGGTAGGCACAGGCAGACACAGGCAGACAGGCAGACACAGGCAGACACAGGCAGGCACAGGTAGACACAGGCAGACACAGGCAGGCACAGGCAGGCACAGGCAGACACAGGCAGGCACAGGCAGACACAGGCAGACACAGACAGGCACAGGCAGACACAGGCAGGCACAGGCAGGCACAGGCAGGCCGCACACTGCTGGTATTTGTCTATAGAATTCAGACCCCAGCATGGACGTGAATGGACCATGTATGTTTGCGTACGTTGAACTTCTTTCGCACCGTACGTAGCCAACCGTGCTAATCGTATGTGCGGGGGAAGGACAACAAACTAACACGCACACACAATAAAAAGTTAGTTTTAAAGAAATGTATTTTTCAATCGAGATTTAACATCGGAAGTAAGAGCGTTCCAGACGGCCGCCAAAGCACATGTGACAGCGCCGCGCGATGCGGAGACCGTGTTTGTTCGATGACGAGCCATCGAACCATCACCCAAGTTGATCTGTCCTTGAACAATCCCAGTGAATGGAATGCATCCTAAGGGGCAGGGGGACGTGAATCGTGGAGATGGAGCGATGGTTGCGTCGCCGGACCGCGAGACAACATTTTGCTGTCATCATGCGCCAGAAGAGGACGGAGTTTGCTGCGTTGTGTTGCACCAATGCTGCTGAAATATCACTCCCGTAATGCCGTGCGTGGTCTATGAGATGTGTACAAAAAATAGTTAAAGCTTAGTTATAGATTTGAAGTTTTCGTGACTGCAAGGATTCATATTCTTTGTTTTTTTCGGTAACGTGACTTCACCGAAAAAAACCAAAGAGTATAAAGCTTAGTTGTTTGTGTGTGTGTGTGGAGAGAGGGCTCTGGGAAGGTGGCGTGACGTCTGCCTCTTTGTGTCGCTAATCACACGCGGGCGAGTCGATGACGATCTGCGTCTTTCAGGGGAGAAGTGTCGAACTTTCATCGACCTGGCCCCCGCCTCAGAGAAGGGTAAGTTGAGCGCTGTGCTCTCTGTGGATATGCGTGAACGCGTGGATTCTTATTATAATAATTATAAAGTACAATGACGCATGTGCGACCGTCACAAATATGGTCTTTGGTTCTTTCGGTAAAGTCACGTAGAAATAAAATAAGTTAAATAATTATTTAATGTATATTTTTTCCCTGCGTTACTTATTTAATTAAAACATTTCTACGTGACTTATTTAATTACATTTCTTTCTACGTGACTTTACCGAAAGAACCAAAGAGTAATTCCTGCAGTCACGAAAGCTTCGAATCAAGTTTTCGCCACATGTCTGCTCTGACCATATGACGGTCCACGAGCGAGTTGGATGTTTGCGCGTGGCGGTGTGACGGTCGTGTTCTGTGAATGCTCACAAATGCGATTTAAAAAAATCAATCGATATATTTTTTCTCGCATACATTCGCTTACTTTGAATGCACAGTAAGGCATTTTTTTTCTGGGGTGTTGTCCATGCTTCTCTGTGCACGTGTTACCGATTAATCGTGGCTGTATGTCTGTGTACATGGCTCTGAGTGGAGGCATGCTGTTGCTGTGTACACGTGTGTGTCTATGTCTGTGTGTGTGTCAATGTCTGTGTATGTCAATGTCTGTGTGTGTCTATGTCTGTGTGTGTGTCTATGTATGTGTGTGTCTATGTCTGTGTGTTAATGTCTGTGTGTGTCTATGTATGTGTGTGTCTGTGTGTGTCTATGTATGTGTGTGTCCATGGCTCTGTGTGTCCATGGCTCTGTGTGTGTCTATGTCTGTGTGTGTGTCCATGTCTGTGTGTGTCTATGTCTATGTCTGTGTGTGTCTGTGTGTGTCTGTGTGTGTCTATGTTTGTTTGTGTCTGTGTGTGTGTGTCTGTGTGTGTATGTGTGTGTATGTCTGTGAGCGTCTGTGTGTGTGTGTCTATGTTTCTCCGCGTGTGTGTTGTCCACGGCTCCGAGTGTAGGCGTGCTGATGCTGTCCATGGTGTCGGAGACGCTGTTCGTGTCTCTGCTGTCTGTCGGCTTCCTCCTCATGTGCCTGGAGCGCTGCAACGCGGCCCACGCGGCCAACGTGGTCACGGGCCTCAAGCTCAACGCCTTCGCGGCCGTCTTCACCGTCCTATCCGGTGCGGAACTTTGACGACGACAACGCCGCTGTCCGCCTCTAGATCAAGCCCCAGGGTTCGGCAATTCCAAAAGTAAAACAAGGAGAGCCATTGGCTTCGGATTCCGTAAAGCAAAAAAAATCGAAAAAAAAACACTAAATATTTCGAGAGTCGTAATAACGCAAGCGACTAGGGGAGGGCACTTCGTGAATAACAAGACGAAAACACCAAAACACGAAACGTTACGGCGCAGGCAGAAGTTGATTTCTCATCAGCTATGTTTCGGGTCGCCATATGAGACTGGAGTAAAAGCGCGTAGCTGTTAGCTGCAGCCATAGTGCGCGGTATACTGAATGCGGTGTGCCAGGTGGAAGAAAATATATTCCGGTCCGCCGACCGAGACAGATCCGGGGCCAGCGCCGCTCCTGTATATACGTTGAACTTCTTTCGCACCGTACGTAGCCAACCGTGCGGGGGAAAGACAACAAACTAAACACAACAAAGCAGTTCTAAAGAAATTGGGTTTCTATCTAGATTTAGAAGTGTAAAGCTCCAGCGGCGTCCTAATATTCGGAAGGAAGAGCGTTCCAGACGGCCGCGGAAGCGCATCTGAAAGCGCCGCGCGATGCGGCGACCGTCTTCGTTCGATGGCTCGAATCCACCAACATCGGCGACTGCCACTCGTAGTGGATTTTGACGGAGCTTGAGCCTTAAGGTCCAGGGTAAACGACGGTGCCCCCCTGACCCCATGTCCCGTGCATTGCCCACCCCCCCCCCTACCCTCCCTCTCTCCGCCCTCCGCTCCTGCTGAATGTGCCCGCCAGGCCTGCTGGGGATGGTGGCACACATGATGTTCACCACCGTGTTCCAGGTGACCGTGAATCTGGGCCCGGAAGACTGGAGGCCATACAGCTGGGACTATGGCTGGTCCTTCTGGTATCTCTCACGCTCCCTTTCCGCGCGTCACATCTGCGTCTCGCGCTGTGCCTGTTCATGGGGGGAGCCGGTGGCGCAGTGGTGTCTGCTCGCCGCGCGACCAACCTGTCGGCCTCGATTAAGTTTTGCCGAGACGTGGCTGGGGCCACAACCACCCGCTCACGCACCGTGCATGTCTTAATAGTCGCTTGCCAACAGCGTTGCCCGTCCACAAGTCTATAAATGACACAAACGTGACGTGGCACGAGAGGGTCTTACAGATTGGACCAAACCCCCCCCCCCGATTAGACTCTTTGATTCGTCATCTCGAATGACCCGTGACATTTCCCCAAATCGCACCGGGTTGGGTGGGTGTGTGCGGGATCGTTGCAAGCGCGACGTCGTTTTGTCTCTTTCCACCCTTCCCACCCACCCCACCGCTGCCAGCTTTGCCTGGGGCTCCTTCACGGCATGCATGGCGGCCTCGGTGACGACACTCAACAACTACACCAAGACGGTGCTGGAGTTCGGCTGCCGGCAGCGCCTCCTACGCCAGGGCTTCAGCGCCGACTCGCGCCGCCTGGGCGCGCTCACCACCACCTCCCTCCGGCACCCCGCAGCGCCACCGCCGCCGCCACCGCCGCCGCTGCCGCCCCCTTTGCCCGCCCGCCGCTTCGCTCCTCCGCCCACCGCCCCCTACTCCAACCAGCATCAGCAGCTGCAGCAGCTGCAGCAGCAGCTGCCCTGGGTCTCGGCAGGCCACGCGCCGAGGTCCAATGCCAGCCGCGAGCGGCACAACGATTTCAGCATTGTGGCACCCAGCAATGCGGCGGCCATCTTGGCGTACAGGTCCGTGTACCCTCTCGCGCACAAAAACAGAGCGCTTTTGAGCGAGTCCTGTGAAGCTCCGCTCTGAGTGACGAAGCGATTCTAGAATACGAGGACTGGTTTCCAGCAGTCGAGTTCTGACGGTGATTTTAGAATCATGCCCACAAACTTTCTATGTTTTTTGATAGGAAACGGCCATATCATGAAATCATCACTCCGATAGCAGATTGCTAAATTGATTTTCTGATACTCAAATGCAATTTAGATCAGAGATGAAAAAGGTTTGAACGTCTGTGTGTGTAAATTGCATGTTACCAAGCTGCAACAGATTAACGTTTGGCTCAAGTATGTGCGTGGGTTCACACCGGATTGCCAAACGTGCCGCGATAATTCATAAGTGCAACATCTGCCTATCAAGGCTGTTGCCAGACAACCACTGCACCGTCGATTGGCTGCCGTGTAACGGCGGAAATAAAGCGAAGAGTGTCGTGTTCCAGTGAACCTGCCGTGATGGCGAGATGTCATCTTCCTCGCCTGGGATGCAGGTGGTCGCGAGTTCCGTCCCGACCCAGACACCTGCTGTATTTTCCCCGTGAATGTGCGGATTCTTCTCTGGGTATTCTGGTTTTTCCCTCCACATTTAGAATAAACATGCGTTTAAGAGTATTTTTGCTGCGATACATTTCCACATAAGCCACGTCGTTGAGCGATCATATGTGGCCAGGTCGCTTCTGAAAAAGAGCCAATAGTTCAGTTGGCTTTACTTGGTAAAATACAAACTTAAATGAGCTTTAGTAGAATACCCAGTGGTGCCCAGCTGTGCTGCCTTTGCTTGCTGATTTATCAGCAAATAGGAAAGATCATTCGTGTAAAATGTATACGTATTTAACTCAACACATTCGTCAATAACACGGTTGCCTTATAAAAGTAAATAATATACAAGTAGGTGACATTTTTAGGCAATGGGAGGAACATGTCCGATTAAGAGCCATTGCCTGAAACGTCGGCCGTTTTATAAATTTTCCTTTTAAGGCCAGTGTTATTGATGAACGCGCTGATTTCTTTGCTAATTGGGCACGCGGTACCACTGCCAAACACAACAGCATCACCAAATAATTTGCTTGTTGTTCAAACGCACATGACAACATGTGATGCACAAACACCGCTGGCCTGTTAGATACGTGCCGATTTCACGCGGAGATCTGGGAGAAAAGCCACGAGTGAATGTTGGCCATGACAGAACAGCTGCACCTATCGCTCCTGACAGCATTGTGTTCTATGTCACTGAGCGTTAAAAGTGCGAATGTCGTTTGATGGGTTATGCGTTAACTTTTTAGTTTTTTTATTGTGTTAACATGTAATGTTGGTGTCGTGTTTTCAATGTTGGTGCCTGGTGAAAAATACTCAGCTTTAGAAATTGGCAATAAAAAAGATCAAAACTTGCTTCTCATGCCATGAAGAATTCACTGCCGGTTTGTTTCATCGATGGGTCTTTGAAAATGCGGTGTCATTATTCTTCATGCATTCAGCTGGCATGCAAACATTTGGCTCACTTGCCACGCTAGTTAGGTTCACCTACACTTAACCATCGAGACAAATCCAACGAGCTTCATCATTTTATCTTTATTGGGTCCTTGAAGACATCTTACACACAACTGTACGAGCAGACAGTAACTTCCACCGGGGGGAGGGTGAGGCCCTTAACAACTTGGACTTCGATGTCCGACAGTCACATTATTTGTACAGCGGTCACGCAACGTCGTGCGACTCAGATGCGGCCCGGGAATTTTCCGTCCGCCCGCTGCTCGTCCCACTTATTCACCTGCACGTCACACAGACGGGGCACACGCGGCGGTAACGTTGTATTGAGTGTTGAACTTCTTTCGCACAGTACATAGCCAACCACGCTAATCGTCGGAGGTGCGGGGGGGTGTCATTGATGTTATCGATGTGGAGGGACACGGCGGCCAGGCTTGGCACAATTGTGTCGCACAGTTAACACGAGTACTGTTGCTACTAACAACATTTCTCATAATAATAATCCCCACAGTACAGCATTGTAATTGTAGTCTGCTCTGCCTGTTTTGCATTGAACATTTAGAAAATACTTGATATACACCGAAAATACCTACAAGTATACATGTGTAAAGCGAGTGCTAGAACGTTTGCCTTTGACTTTAAACAACACAGGTCAGCTACGTACGATGCAAAAGAAATTCTACATACATACAACATTGGTGATAATTAACATCATTTTGATATCGTCAACTATTATTTCGCATTTTCTTGTTTGTTTATTATAGCAGACATCACCCCCCACCCTCCTGAACATTCCGGCTCTTGAGGGTTTTTTACACCAACTCCAAACGAGCGCCATCAACGTGCTACTGTAGGACGACTCTCACGAACGCAACACAGATGGGAGTGTAGGCAGGAGGCGGGCCGGCCGGCTTACCCATGCGATGGGGCACAGCGAGGTGTAGACGCGCTTGAACCACGCGCATGGCAGCGGGTCCGAGCCCTTGGCAGTCAGAGCCTTCTCGCACCTGTGGAAGTCTGCGGGGGGCACAGGAGGGGCGAGGTTCGCGAGGTCAGCGACAAGGCTACGTACTCATCCCCCCCGCCCCACCTCAGCGTCTCAGTGCCGCGCTGCCATTTTAATTCAGAGTGTTCAAGCAAAAAATACAGAATCTGTATTTCTTCTGGAAGAATCCGACGAGCTATAAAGCTCTTTTTCACAGCTGTCATCATCCACTCAAGCGCCCCCTCCGAGCCTCTGGGCACACAGACCGCTGTCCCCCCCCCCCTCATTAATGGCGGTGACGCGGCCTCGTGGTAGCGCTGCGTTCGTTGCAGAAGTTCACCGTTCGAATCCAGCGGCCCCCTGATGATTACTGCGCGTGTAACGACCACAATAATACGCGGCGTCCCCTTTACACAGTGGAGACGTTACAAGATCTCCTGTCGCCAGGATCCAAATTTGGCAAATGTAGAAAATGTACCCACAAATTCCCAAATTGGGACTATTCACAGCAGCAATCATCATCCCCCATTGGCAGACAAATGCCCCCCAAAAATATCACGAACAAAACACGTTGTGAGAAATTTGGTGTTTTATCTATATATATAAAAAGGAAATTTGTGAATATATGTGTGTTTAGCATACTTCCTAACATGCAACAAACTTGAAATTTGGCATGTGGGTAGCTGCCAGAAAGTACACAATGCAAAAAGTCTAAAAATAGACTTTTGTTTTTTTTTTGGGGGGGGCGGGGGGCACAATAACGGATATAATATATATTGCACGGCAAGTGAGCTTTGACGTCACATCTGTGATGTCACCCGCATGCGACAGCGTCACACAGTGTGCCTGCTGACGTCACGCATCCCGCCCCCCCCAATGTTATGTTTGTAATGCTTCTAATAAGGAAGATTTATATCTAAAAAGTAAACTGGGATTTGCGTAGGATTCAGTGATTAACACGTGGCATCATGTTCTAGATGCGTGAAGGGCTCCATACACAATCAAGCTTCGCCTGGCTCATGCTGCCAGCAGACATAATGTGATCATGGGATGGCTTCCTTTCAGCCTCCCCAGCGTACATTATTTGAAATTTTAAGGAAACTACACTCAACTCTGCTGGCAGGCAACAGGCTACACCTTGATCAACAAACTTCCGACTAATTTCCCCTCCGCAATATCGACGTTTCAGCGAGCACCCTCACCCAGGTAGTTCTGGAAGCAGTTCCTCGTCTGATTGCTGTTGGGGAATCGGGCATCAAAGGGGGCTGTGCGGTAGCTCTTGAGCTTCTCTTCGATTGTGCTTGCCATCGTAAATCTCGGGACCTGCGCAGAACAAAAAAAAACAAACCCAGAGGCAAGAGTTTGTACGGTGCGAAAGAAGTTCAACATACACACCGTACATTTTTGTGAAAATGATGCGGGGTTAGTGATCACGACGCAATCTTGAAGTGACCCGGAGTTTAGTGGTCAGCATCGTTAGCGCACATTTTCAGCACTGAACACCGACAACTTCATTCATATTATATATTAAAGAAAACTGTATGAGTCTCCTCCATTGGCAATGAAGGGAGCTACCTTAGATCGTGATCCGAACTGGAAGACAATGGAACGGTGACTGCGGTACACTGGCAACAGACAGCGGCACGCAACGTGAACTCGCGCCCACCGTGAGCGTTCTTCCAAGGAGCAAGCAGCCGGTTCTACAAATGAACCTCATGGCAGGACCCTGGGGTCCCATAAGCCCCGGGCTCTTGCATAAACTGCGTTGCGACGTCATTTTATGTCTGTTGAAGGCGAATGATATTGTAATCTATTCCTCTCGACGAGCTCTATACGATGCAGTAATCAAAGTTTAAAAGTTTTGTTTCTTCTGCGCATTCGTCCTCGCTGCGCTTGGACGACACGACAACAGAATGATCCGCGCCAGGTAAGTAGCGGCGATTATGTGCGCGGTCGGACGGGGTCGCTAAAAATGAATTAATTACGATTTTGACTTCTGTCTATTCGGGACCCCGGGGTCCCGCCATGAGGTTCAAATTAAGACGTCGATTTATAATTGCTAGTCAACTCATCCATACGAGATTAGTGGGAGCCGCCATAGATGAACTCTGCCTCAAGTGTACACCAGGTATATCACATCATATGCAGGTGGGACAGCTTAGCTATCAAGGCGTCTACCCTGTACAGCTTGTGCCGACCCATTGTAAATTAAACTGTATTATTATCATCATCATCATCATCAAAGTCTCCCCATGCCGTGTCGAGTGGGGCGCAGCCTGAACCAGTCCAGACATTACTTCAACGCAGGTCGCCGCGTTAAAAGTGCAAATGAGCGACTGCCGTTCTTCTGCCTCCGCGTGACCAGTGCCGTGGCTATGGAAGTCTGGAGGGACTGGAGGTCAAAGGAGACTAAACCACACAAAAAATATCTCGTGGCTACACACATGGCATGTGCACCGGGCTGACAAAAGGGGCATGATGCTTCGTTTATAATAATACTCGAATAAAGGTAGTTTAAAATCAAGGGCAAACGTTCTATTTGACGTAAAATCAGATTCGTTTTCAATTGTAGGCCGTCCACATCACCAGGGTGCTATCATGCCTGGGTATGACCGTAACCTTCAGATCTGCCCCCCACCCATACGACCTCGTAGGATGGCGAGAAGACTTTCATGAAGATACAGAAAGACGACACACGTGGAGTAGAGAAGACGCCACTGGCACGGTTTAACGCGAGTCGGGGGGCGCGTGGGTTATCACGCGCCGTGGCTGCAATCGATGGTGGCCAAAACATGACGGCAGCCGAGGGAGCACGCCCTCTCGTACACACGCCGGGGAGATGGAGCTGTGAAATCAGCTCGCCTGCAGCTGCTTGGTGAAAGAGATCGCAGGGCCGTGATGGGTGACGGCGTAGGGAGGCAGCGGATTGGGCACTAGCGCACCGCCGATGCTAAACTCGGGGTTAACATTCGCGTGGAAATGGGCCGTGTGATTGTCAAATGGGATGATGGCGAATTTGTCGTCATTCGTTGCGTTCAAGCATCTTCAATGTCCGCCTCCGCCAGTCAGTCGCTTGTGTGACAAGCCCGCAGAGCCAACCCACCCATAGGCGGTGTCACCTTGGTGCGTTACGCCAACAGGAAGCGTCCCCTCCGCCCTTAGCGCGAACACTCGAGGCACAGCTAGTGCAGCTTGGTTGGTACCACTTGCGGTGGCAAATACGAGCCTCCACCGTCGGCAAGTGCCCAGCCTGAGCAGAAAGCCTCGTGTTAGAACCCATCTCGTGTTTTTACACATTCCGGGGAACGTTTCATGGAGTACCAACACGTATCGTCAACAACGGCTGTGTCATTCTCCATCCCAATACACTGCGATGCCCTCCTTCAACGACATTTATCTCACCAAGAACTACCCCGATGACCTTGCTATCGTACATATTTGTGATCGTGAGCTAACGCGCCACGATAAAATAATTGATAGCAATGGACACCCCGCGTAGTACCGACGCGCGATGTTTTGTCGCAACGGTTCAAGGTCTAAACACCTTGGCCGAATCATTGACCCCTGGAGGGCCTACACAAGCCAGGCTCTTCCGCCCCCAACTCTCCCGGGCGCCGCAAGGTCTCCCCAAGGGCCGGACACGGCAGAATGATCGCCCCGCCGCCCGCGTCTCCTTCTAATGACCGACAACGACAACATCGCCGCTGCTGCTGCTACCGTGTTGCGGCTGCGAAGGGGAGCCGTGAGGCCGCCCTCTTACCTCGCTCCGCGCAGCACGAAGGGCAATGGAGACTCCGAGTCCGTGCAGAACCGCCGAGCGGAAATGGCCAACCGGACGTGACGTCGATTGCAGTTCATTTTTTTGTTGGTTTATTTTTAGTTAAATTTTTTGCTAAGGATTTTTTTTAAACCAAGAACTGTATCGCGATGTATAATGAGACGCAAGACTTTTGTGTAATATTTGATGGATTTTAATTGTGCGAGTTATTACGGGAAAAGTTGATTGGTTGCTCATGTGGTGGGAGGGGGCGGGAGGGTGGGCAGTCACGTGGTAGTCGCTGCCTTAAAGGGAGCTGGGAGGGAGTGAATTGGTCCGGTTTGGGTGGCTCAGCTGTAACCGGTCACGTCCCTTAAAGGAGTGGCTCTCCCAACGTTACACTTATCGTATGACAGGTTATTAAAATCTATATATTTTTTGCATTACCAGTTACCGCATTTAAAACACCCTTGCATGGAAAAACATATAACAGACGAAGTCACGGGCATGATGACCCTTCTTCATGTGACCACCGTTACTGCTATTCGTGTAAGTTCTCACAGCCAACCCCAGTTGACATGCTGCGTTTCACCAGAAGAGAGCAGCATCGTCACGCGATTTTGGACGATTTTTGACCCCCTCCCCCCCCAGTCGCACGGCGTCACAAAAAGTCAGACCCCCCCCCTCAAATATGACGTCACAAAGCTCTGCCCCCCCCCCAAAATAAAACATGCTTCAAATCGCTTTAAACTATTGTCATTGTAGTGCGTATTTCATGTGGCGCTGCACTCTGATGTTGTAGGAGAAAACATTTATTAAAAAGTCTATTTAATGAAGCACGTGTTTATATTTATTTAAAGTTGCGCATTTTCATGTGACGTCACATTTCTCACCCCCCCCCCCCCCCCATCGTCACACATCGTCACAAATGTCTGACCCCCCCCCTCCCCTAGGTACGTGACGTGATTTATGGACGGCCCCTGAGCAGAAAACAATACATTTAATTTCGGAACGCAATAATTCAGCTGAAGGCGCCGATGTCGGCATAAACGTTGCGATTTCACAGCTTCTGGCATGAATTGTCGCACCCAAGAGGACGTGACGCGCACGCCGGCCATTGCTCGTCTTAAAGGACTCGGCGGTGATAGTGGGTCTGATTTCGGGAGATCAGCCGTAACGCGGTTCATCCTTAAAGGAACACAACTTTGGGCAATGTCTGTATCCCCATGTCCATGCTGCATCGGCAGGGAGCAGCATCCTCACACGTCCACGATTGGCTCTGGCGGCAGAGTTCAACTGTGAACAAACTCTGCACGCTGTAAACATTTGTGTATTATAAACACACACTTCATCCCAATGATAGCATGATTCGCTGCCACACCGATACAGAATCGTTACCTTGCCCCAACATTAGGTTGAAAATTTATAATTTGGACGGCCCAAAGTGCTAAATTGAAGTTGTTCTATTTAAAATTCCAGCTCTGTCTTCTCGAACCGCATGGGTCTCCTGTGCTGGAGGCGAGCTCCTGTGGTGCGTAAGAAATTCAACACACACACACATACACCATTCCAGTGCAGTCGCGTGTTCGCCACTTGTGTGTATGTATGTACTGATAGTGTTGAACTTCTTTCGCACCGCACGTAGCCAACCGCGCGAGTCGGAGGTGCGGGGGGAAGGGCAGCAGACCAAACACAGAGGAGCACTTCTAAAGGGATGAGCTTTCAATCTGCGAGGCGGTGTGCGCGTAGCTTCGTGGTTTGAATGCATCAGGCTGGCTGTCCCATAGCTCAGTGGGCTTTACCTGGGAACATGCAACATAGCGATAGTTTTATTTGTAGATTTTATTTAGCGATTTGTTTACCTTTGCTATACTTTCCACACGTATCGTGTTTTTTGGTGTTGTTGTTCTAACGTTCTGACCTGTACATCTGTAAAAAAATAAAAACAGCTTCATAGTTCCGGTATAAATAAATATTCTGATTCTAATGTATGAAGCGTGCACATACAGGTCGCCTGCCTCACAGTGCATGTTAAAGGTCTCGTGACGTCAATGTGTGCTGGGCGCCATGGTTCAAATTTGCCAAATTTAAAAAAAAGAAATCAACTCCCGTGTGACCTAACTCAGAATCAGAAGATGTATTTCTACTGGAGGAATCCGATGAGCTATGAAGCTCTTCTTTTCACAGATGCCCAGTGCAACAACGTAGCTGTACCCCTGTGAGCCATTGAGGCTTTCCTGCTTGGTGAACGCGATAATAACAGCTGCAGAAGAATGTGGGACCACAAATCAGCATCGACCGAATCTCAAAGAGATGCTGGCGCAGATAGCGCAGGGGCCGTCATGGCGCTGGTTGCCAGATGTGGGCCCTCTTGAAACTTGATGTGGGCATTCTTGAAGATAAGTGCAGCCTCTTATCGTGACTCGCACACAGAGGCTGCTCGGCCACTCTGTCCCACGCACCCCTATCCACCATCACGGCAGTGCACCCCGAGATTACAGCCACACCTAACACACAACCAGTGTTATTTCAACCAATCGGAGGCCCCCCACTCTTCACTAAACTTTAATTGACCACCGCAGTGAAGCGGGGTGAAATATCTCCGATGACTGACTAAGCGTGGATAGACCGTCCTGTCCTGTTTACAGCCGCGAGCCACTGGTGGAAACTACACATTCCTATGACAGGGGCGAAAACTGCCCATAGGACAACCACTGTTGACTTCCCCACAAAGTGGTATTTCTTTTATTGACCACAGAAGGATGATGGGCTGAGTCAGCCACCAACCATGATTTCAACGGCTCGCCAGCATCGTTTTGCCGTTTCCTGGCAGCCCAAAGAGCAGGAGGCCTTTGGCCGGTGCGCAGAGACCTGTGAAGAGCTGATCGCTTTTCCGCTTATACTAAAAAGTGTTTATGTCTATATTTGAAAAGTGCAAATTGTTACCAAAAGAACCAACGAGTATTGCTAAGGTTGTTAAAATGTGTTATGCTTTGCGCTGTGAATGCATCAAAAAGCCACTTCTTCCAATGCGCTCTTAAAATATTTCAGACAAATCTCATAAAATCCGTCGGGCTGTTTGGGAACAAACCAACGACTCTAGGGAAAACGTCAAAATATTCAGGCGGCCTCCATTCACACTGGCGGTCAATTCACGAATTCAAACTGAGAATTCAGACTGGCCAAGCATGAAGGCATCAACGGCAGTTCGCACCGTATTCCGATTGCCTGAGAAGAAACACATTCAGACGGCCTGGCAATGCAGGGACTGATTGAAAACTATGGCAGTGTGGAGACTGCCTGAGAATCCACTTCATGGTCGGTCTCCGCGAACGTTACGCGGTCCCTAAACAGTTTGAAGGATTCCGGGTGATTTGCTTTCACAGCTGCCCGATGCGCTGCGGGTTGTACCGCGTGGTGTCTCAGACAGCGCAAGAGCCCGGATAGCTCAGTCGGTAGAGCATCAGACTTTTAATCTGAGGGTCCAGGGTTCAAGTCCCTGTTCGGGCGTCAATATTTTGTATAAAATAAATAACACGCGGTAACAACCCAAAACACATCGGGGAACTAAAGCGGCACATCCGCGAAAACCCGACGCAGTCGCATAATTTGCCTTTACTGTTTTTCAGCTTGCACAACATTCATATACATCCGTGGTGCTGCGGCAGTGGTGACATTGTCGCTTTGATGTAATCACAGGGACCAGTCCGCCAGTAATACAAACACTATTGACGTTACATCATTTAGAGTTCACCAGAGAGTACTGATTTTACCGACCGGGGAGAGAATAATGATGATGGGTTGAGTGCATTTCCCTCTGTGAGTTTTGAGTAATGCACAAGCCAGAGCTGAGACGATGCCTCGCGCGATCACGAAGTTGCTTCGAGGCACATCTGTGCGATTATTGTTTTACAATTGCAGTCAAATGTGCCCACCTCGTGCGCACAAGTAATGCACTTTCTCTGGGTACTCCACTTTCCTCCTAAATGAAGAAATCAAACAGTATCGCCCGAGCTGCATCAACAGCGGCAGCGAGCTGGCAACGCTACAAAATCATCGCTGAGGGAGAACGCGACCTGCTCCTTTCGGTGCCTGAGGCAGCTCCCGACACGTGGAGCGGAACGTCGGACATCGTGCCGAACAACGCGCGGCACGGCCCAGATCATCACACCAGGGAGTTCGACCCGGCCACTCGTCGGTTCGGGTGACATTAGCACAAATACAGCCCGCTCACCAATGAAACAGAAGCAAGTTGAGAATTAAACCCCAGCGGCATTGAGACGTTTCAAACGAGGGCTCTGCGTGCTTTTTTTGTTGCTTTTTAATAAATGCGTAAACATTCCTCGGCGAAATGTTTCGTAGATATGATCGGTGCCTCTAATTCCCTTTTGACGATAACGCTCCTCGCCGCCGATATATCTCTGCGCAAAGCAAGGGAACGTGCCATCAACAAACGCCCGGTGCA